TTCCAATGATGATAAACTTTTCCCAAGGAACTCTGACTTCATTTAGCTGGAATGAATTTCTTGAATTCATAATACTTAGAGGTCCATGCCTGATCTAGAAATAGGTCAGGTAGTAAGATAAGATAGCTTGTAAAATAAGATAGCTTGTATCTCCCCATCACTATAGAAATATTCTGCCTTTATTATTCCATTTTGAACCATATCCTCAGTTCTGTTAATAACTCTGCCTTTCCACATCTCAGTGTTGCTCATAGGTTATCTGTTCTGTATCTCTTTCTTATAAAATATTGCAGTCATTTGTGAGAAGCCTGGTGATCATTTTCTTTTACTGTCTGGTCATATTGTATACAGATTCTGTATAATGGGATTATACTTCTTTTTCTTATTTTTATACTGCTATATCATATTTTGCGATGAGATATTTATTTCCTGTTATTCTAATAGTAGCTCTTTATCCTGCATAGACCAAGCATTCAGATGAGTTAATGTGCCTGCATGATGATAATTTTTTTCATATGGGGAAAGCCCAATCCACTTGTTTGATTGTACTGTATTAGCAGCTTTACATGGTTTTTTCCTGACCATAAAAGACAAGCAGGAACTTCTGCTAGGTACTGAACTTTGTCAAAGAAACAAGCAAAAAGGAATATTTAAGAAAAGAAGGAATTGTAATTTTTTTGGCTAAGTTTTTTTTTAAATTGGGCGATCTCACTAATTCCCTTTTCACAAGATAAGCAGTTATGATTCACTTTTACTAATTTTCACATTGTATTAATAATGTTAATCCCTATTTGATATGACTCCGTTCAAGATAGCAAGTATTTCTTTGATATTTGATCTTTAAACTTTCTTCTATGGCAAAAACCGTTTTTTGTAAGTTCAACAAATGAAGGGAGCAATGCCACAACACCCTGGGCCAGTGGGGCCAGTCTGTGGCATGCATGCCACAGTGGGCATGGAGAGCCCTCTCTGTCGGCACGCGAGCAAAGTCGCCCCAGCAGCCGAGCAACAGATAACAGTGCACATAGGGGCCATGCGCATGCTTGGAAAGGAGTGGTGCCAGGCGATGATGTCACAGGTCGTGACTCATTAGCCACGACTTGTCCAAACTTTCACATGGCCAGTCAGTCCGGCGGGCAGGGGTGTATGTATGCATGCTTGGACTGGCTGTGAAGTGTTTTTTTTCTCCTAATCTCAAACCTCATTTTTCATGTTTTATTGTAGTGTTGGCACTTTGCGATAAATAAGTGGGTTTTGGTTGCAGTTTGGGCACTTGGTCTCTAAAAGGTTCACCATCACTGGGTTTGGGTTCGAAAAACAAGGTGTCCTGGAATGATATTGATGATTAGAATGTGTTTAGAATGGGCAGAAATGTTGAGCTGAGCAGAAAAAGCTGCTCAAGAAAGTCTTTTTCAAAATCACCCTCTTTTCAGTGGAACTTTATCCCTATATAAGGGTTAGGGGTGTGTACCAAGGCAGGGTTAGAGTTTGGAAAACGAGGTGTCCTGGTATGATTTTGATCGTTGGAATGTGTTTAGAATGGGCAGAAATGTTGAGCTGTGCAGAAATAGCTACTCGAGGAAGGCTTTTTCAAAATTGCCCTCTTTTCAGAGAAACATTCGCCCTATATTAGGGTTAGAGGATTGCACCAAGGTATGGTTAGGCCAGTTGTGGCGAGCATATGGCACATGGTCCACAGCGGGCATGCAGGGCCCTCTCTGTCTGCATGTGAGCCAAGTCACCCAGCAGCCAACGCATCAGATAACAGTGCACATAGGGGCCATGCCCATGTTCGGAAAGGAGTCGCGGCACCAGGCAATGATGTCACAGGCTGCGACTCATTAGCCGCGACTCGTCCGACCTTTTACATGGCCTGTCAGTGCGCTGCCAAGGATATAGATACATTTGCTCGGACTGACTTCGAGGCGTTTTGTCTAAACTAAAACCTCAGTTACCAGGTTTTATTGTAGTGTTGGCACTTTGCAATAAATAAGTGGGTTTTGGGTGCAGTTTGGGCACTTGGTCTCTAAAAGGTTCGCCATCGTTGCTCTAGCATCATCTGAGGAGCCATAAGATATTGGGGATTCCCTCCGTGAAGTCCAGCTTCAGAAGGGGGCATCAGAGATCTGGGCCTTGCTCCCTCACAGCCAACATAGACAGAACTTCACCACTGGGTTCAAAAACTGAGCTAAGGGAGAGTGAGAAAAGTAATTCTTGTATGCGGGCAGACCAGAGAAGCCAGGATATGAGCCTCTTCGAACTTCCTACCTTCCCCTCTGAGGTGCTGAGGGGCAAAAACCCATCTAACCCCCCTCCAAAAAAGTGATAGAGGATGGGGGAGACAAAGATCAGTTCTACTCCCTTTTCTTTCCTGCTGGCTTCAGTTCAGTGACTTCTGCGTCAGGAGGGCACAACCTGCAGGACTACCTTAAACTTGTATCCTGGAACTATATCCAATTCTTTTAATATTATTCAGTCTTTTGGACATAAAGCAACACCATTGCTCTATAGGCTGCCATTAACTGGTTGTCTCCTTCCTCAATTATTTTAATTCTATTTTAACTCAATGTTTGTGCAGTTAGTTCAGAAGGCAAAGCAAAAATCAATGGTGTTAAGGACCAACTTTGCGACTGCATAAAATTAAACTGAGTGCCATGTACTGAAATAATTTATGTAGGTTGCTTGAAAATTATCTCTCCAGTTGCAAAGTTATTCTAACATTTTAGGCTTTAGTACTGAAAATAATTCTGCTTACTTATTGTTAACATATATGTGCCCCCTCATCTGCAAAAAAAAAAAAGTGGTGTACAAGAATTTCAAATCATAAAACAAGAATGTTAAAGATGGCAAGAAACATTAAGGTCACAATTCTGTGACGTCTCCCCATTGTCCAGGGAGCATAGAATTTTTCCTTGATGGGACATGGGAGACAGAGCCACCATCCCACTCCACTTTGAGCCAGCATGGAAAGAGCAATACTGGCTGCCTCTCTGGGAATGCAAATGTGCCTTGAAGAGACAGAAAAGGTGTGTGCTGGGGGAAGAGGGGATGAGGAGATTGGGGCTGAGTCTCCACACTCACTTGCATTGGTGCCCCAGGTGCTTTCATTTCCCTTCCCAGGCATTTTGTCTAGACATTGTCATCACCACATTGCTAAAGTAATTGGATGCATACAAACCTCTGAGTTCATCACATTGTGCTCTAACTATACAGTTTAAAAGGCTCAGTTGAAAAGATGTGTCTTATACCCTTTCAACAAGCCAAGAGATTGGGGGCCAATCATAGTTCTTGAGGGAACCTATTCCATAGGTTGGAGCAATAAAAAGAATGCCTGACAGATGAATTTCTGCTGATAATGGCACACCCTAAAGGCCCTCTCTTGCAAATCTTAATACCCAGAGATCATGGAATGGGTAATCCCTTAGACAGTCAGGCCCACCTGACTAGGCTTTGAAGTTTAAAACTAATACAATGAGTTGAGCCCAGAAAGCAATTGGTAACAAGTGCAGGGCTTTCCAGACAGGTGTCAGATGATCCTGATGCCACGCACTAGCTATCACCCTTTCACTCTACTGCTGACACTCTTCAGGGTCACCCCAGGAGAGCACATTGCAATTGCAGTCAGGCTGCGCTAAACCATTGAACACATGTTATATGTTTAAGAATAAGACAGCAGTTAGAATTTTAGTTCTGTTTCTATAATATTATATATGTTCATAGACCGTTTCCTTGATTTAATAAAATAAGATTGGCCTGATGATGCATAATTTCCTGTAATCGATTGGCAATGTGTTTTAAAGATCATCACTTGTGTACATCTCCCTTTTATCTGGGGGTGAGGGAATCTGCAAGCATCTTTCTGTGGTATTGTGCATAATAGCTATCCATTCAGTTTTGTTCACTTTTATTTTAATTGGTTGCTCCACAAATTTAGTCAGTTTTAATTGGCATTTGCTGACACCATCCTGAGAACGAAATAGAGTGGCTGCAAGCAAACATTATCCTTCAACAGAAGGGGAAATTTAGTAATTGTGCAATATGCTAAAACCCGGTACCAGACAAGACTGCCAACTTTTGAAGGTTGCATCTATTCTTTTTCCCAGTATGATTTTGTGCATCATTTGCTCTTGTATATTTGGTACAATTTAATCCAGTTAGCCTGCAAAAGGGCTTCTTGCCTATTGCAAGCGAGGCTTGTCCTCTCCTCTCCTCTCTTCCCTCTGCTCTGTTTTCTTATTAACATAGAGTTGGAGGAGGAGTAAGATTCCTGTGAAATGCAGATTTGTCACACACCACATATATACTGTGCCCTATCTCTTCAGAAACAGCAGCCATCTAGGAACACTGAAGTTCCAAAAGCATTATCTGCATTTAGGCTGCAGTCCTATACATGCTTACCTGGAAGCAAGACCCATTGGAGTGAGTGGCTCTTATTTCTGAGCAGACGTGCATAGGTCACACTATTAAATATTCGTGGCCAAGCACATGGGAGTAGAAAAGGAACAGTTTGCAAAACTGAATTGCAATTTTTCTCTTCGTTTTAAAATTATGACTATTTCCTTCTGAAAAAGAGTGGAGGACTGGGCAGGTGATAGCAGTCTTCAGATACTGATAATCTGAAATGCTTGTACAATGTTGGAAATAGAATACAGAGGAGTTCCTTAGCTGGGAAATAGGTAGATGCCCTTACTTCTTGTAGGCGAGCCTTCCTAAAACAAGTGTTCTCCAAGTATGTTGACCCTTGGGTTGATGGAAAGTGTAGTCCCATGCATATTGGGGAAAGCTGCTTAAGGGTGTCAGGGTTTTTTGCTTATAACCAGTCTACATTGTGGTGGAATTATAGCTGTTCTCGGCCTCTTTTTTGCTGTATGCCTCATCGGAACTTGTGCAGAAAATCGAGGGTGTGAATTCCCTCGATCAGCTGTGGATGATACTGGGAACTTTGGTCGTTTGGCCACTGTTGTGTGATGCTGTCTCTTTCCCCCTCATCCTGGTCTCAGGTGCCGGATGTGTTCCCTGACATTTTACTCCAAGTCGGAGATGCAGATCCACTCCAAGTCCCACACTGAGGCCAAGCCACACAAGTGCCCTCACTGCTCCAAGAGCTTCGCCAACAGCTCCTACCTGGCCCAGCACATACGCATCCATTCGGGGGCCAAGCCCTACACCTGCAGCTATTGCCAGAAGGCCTTCCGCCAGCTCTCCCACCTACAGCAGCACACACGGTAAGGGCCAAGGAGGCTGTGGTGGGGAGGCACCCATGATGCATGCTGCCAGCATCTTAGCATGATGCGAGTGCCCTTGGGGAGTCTGCTCAGGGCGGCGCTGCCATGTACTGCCAGCGGCTCCACATTTTGATCATGCACTAAGCAAAGGTGCCCCTCTGTGTGCGCTATCTGGTCCTCTGCGGAAGGACAATCTGTGATGACGAACTGTTTAGCCACCGGGGATTCGTATTATCTGCGGGAGACTGAAGTCTGTAGATGCAGGACTGATAGCCTCCCTACACTGCCAGAACCTTTGCTGAGCTCTCCCTCTCCACCCCCACCCCTCCATTTCTTCAGCCCTCCGCTTGTCACACACACATACACTTCTGCCCCCGCAAATCCATCTCTCTGGCCTCCTGGTGTAGCTAGTCTTGGTCTTTCACTCCCTCTGGTGGAGTTCAGGGCAAGATTTCCACTTGGTTTTCCTCCACTGTAGCCAGACAGCATGGTGCCATTCCTCATGTTGTCATTGCTAGCCAGCTGACGGTCATGTCCAACTGCTGCCCCTGCTCCTCCTCTTCGGCAGGATCCACTCCAAGCTCCACACGGCGATTGTCAAGCCGCACAAGTGCCCTCACTGCTCCAAGAGCTTCGCCAACACGTCCTACCTGGCCCAGCACCTCCGCATCCATTCGGGGGTCAAACCCTACACGTGCCGTTACTGCCAGAAGGCGTTCCACCAGCTCTCCCACCTACAGCAGCACACACGGTAAGGGCCAAGGAGGCTGGGGGCCCAGCCTGGCCCCCCGTACTGTCAGCATGCACCTTTTTGGAGCACACATGCCCAGCATGTAGGGGGTGGGTTGGGGATGTGACCAGTCATGTTGATTGGAAAACCATGGTCCACCAGAGAGGATGGAGTGGGGGCTGCAGAGGAGACACTGACCGTGCCAGGGTAAAGGTTGGGGGGCATGTTCTGGCCCTGGAGAAATCGTTTTTCACACCCCTTCCCACCCAGGGCTCACACAGAGAACGAGAAAGAGAGGTGGGGGCAGACATAGGCTGGGATCCCAATCTACAGGGAAATAGAAGGGTTGTGAAATTTGGAAATGGAGTGTGTGGAAGTCACCTTTGGTGTTCCAGGGGATATAAAAGTACACAATTTTCTCAAGTAAGTTTGGCTAGGCATTTTGTATGTGTGTGCTTTGAGGAGGGAAGGCAGATTAATGGATCTGTAGAATCATCCTTTGGCACTGCAGAGGGCAGAATAAAGGACCTGTGGACTTCAGTTGGGAGAACAGTCTTGCTCTCTAGTCCTTTGCCCTGGCACTGCCACAGGTGACTGCAGTAACCGTGAGTTTGCCTTTCGCCTGTGAGCTGCTTGTCTCTCTCCTTTTGTTCTTGCATGATCTTGCGCGCTTCCCTTTCTCACTTGCCTAAGTTGGGCTAGAAAGAAGGTGGCAAATAAATTAATAACTATGCCCAGTGGAGGGTGGTGCATGTCTTGGTTTTCTAGAGTGAATCTTCAGACCATCTGGGAGTGGGGCTCTGTTTGATGTTTCTCCTGCTAATCTTTCTTTTGTGCTGTTCCTTTTTGTGGTAGGATCCATACTGGAGACCGGCCCTATAAATGTGCTCATCCTGGGTGCGAGAAGGCTTTCACACAGCTTTCCAACCTGCAGGTAAGGCTGTCCATTTGCCCCACAATGACCTCTGAAATAGGGAAATGATACGTTCCCTCACCTCTTCCCCAGAGCAGATTGATAGAAAAGGGTCATGATTGAAGAGTACCAGCAGCCTAATATTGGTGTTACCACCAGCCTAATATTTAAGGCACAGCTGGTAGCCACTTCTGTTAATTCAGAGTGGCAAAGGTGCCCTGCACAGGCCGCTCTGTCACCTCCAGTTAGGCTAGTGACGTTTTTATTGTTGTTGCCCTGTTTTGTGCAAGCTAGTGATTTTTACAGGCTTGTTTACAAGGCTGTGTTAACAGAGGGTGGCATGCCTTGCTACTCATCACCCAATGCACAAGCAGTATCACTGTGTCCTTTGGATCATAGTTTGGCCTGTTGGCAGGAATAGAATTGAGTTCTGCACATAAATAACCAGAATTGTGTGGAGACACTTGGATGCACAAGGAATTGCAATGAACCTGTTCACACATAGCAGTGGCAGACTGTAGTTAATCCACAGCTTGTGTGGTGTGAGCAACCTGTTTCAGACTTGAATACACAGCTGCCAGTTAGCCTGAACATAGGTTGCCTTGTGACATGTCATCCAACCCAGAGACTGTGGGTTATTCATGGATTAAGTACATCAAATTTAACCTAAAAATAAATCATAGGCCAACTTTCGGTTTGTTTAACGCACAAATAACGCATCATGCCTGGATTCATACATCAAGCTGAACAGGAGATACATACTGAAATCAGAAGCAGCTTACAACCTAGCAGATGCAAGGTAATTCACCCACAGCTTGCCACCGTTACGTGCAAACTGAGTCATTGCGTTAGGATAAGCTGATCAGGGTTTAATGGCTAATTGCATAGTAAAGATCTAACTGTAAGTAAGTTCCGCCCCAAATTATTCCAGTTGCAAATAGTTCAGGTCAGTATTCAATATTAACTGTCTAAAATCTAGAACCAGCAAAGTGGGCCTAAAAAAGCACTTGTTTATTTTTCATAAAATGCTTGAATGAAAATCATATATGAATTGCCTATATCATAAGAAAAGGTGTTCACCATGAAACCTCAAGCTGTCTACTTTGCATCTAATATCTGGTTGCACCAAAATATAGGCAGATGTAGGTGTTCGGTTGATATGATCAATTATACATATGGTGAAAGTCATAAGTGCTAATATGCAAATTGTGACATCTAAGCAACATCAGATACATTTTGTTTTTCACTCTCAACATTATTGTTTAATCCTGTTCTTCATTGCTTAGAATTGTTAATCCATCTTTGCAGTTGCTGCTACTACTGTACTTACAAACCACAGCACAAGCAAGATCATAAAGTCAGCATGCACATCCTCTACTGCAAGTTCTGTCAACTGATTTGGCAAATCAGTTCAGCAAATCAGGTCCAGCAAATTGTCTTCATTAATTTATAGATGCTGGTTCTTTATTTCATGTGGCTGTTGGCTGAAGAGATCCATGTAAACCTTGCCATCACTATTGTTCTGGGAACACATTGTAAGCTCCAAGTGTTTTCCATATAGAGCACTCAAAATTAACCGTGTGCGTATGGCAGTCAGCACCATCAACACTTGCAGGGATCTATGCAATATCAGGTTTTCTAGAAGGAGTTTTTAAACTTACTTCACTACATGCTTCATAGGATTTGTTGACTTTCCATCATCTCCCCCGTTCAATGTCAGCTCTACTTGGGCTTTTGATGATTGCATGAGCATTTGTCCTATGATCGTATCAGTCCATATCCCAGCCCACATCGTGTTTTGGCACCTTAATACGAACCTACTTTTCTGGAATGTCTGTCTATTTCTACACACGAGTTCTGTTGTCTGCAGACTAATTTAAATTAAATTTCAGTAATTTAAAAGCAGCATCAATAATGTGGAATTTCTTGGTCTCTGGATCATCTGGTTTTCCAAGCATAGTATAATTAAACAGGATTTCAGGGACTGATTTTCCAAGCAGATGCATCGGTATGAAGGTGTTCCATGCATCTCCTCTTGTGTGCATTTCTTTGAGTATTTCTCCAGTTTACATGATTCTGACTGTAGTACAGATGCACTCCTCTTTTTTTCTCTTTTGTCCATCAGAACATAATCTCAGACCAATCAGCTGTTCTTTTTAATTAAACCAAGTTACTTCTGAGTATCCCCATGTGCACATGATCATTTTTTCCAAGAAATGTGTGCCATTTTTGTTGGTGTGGGTATATAGCATGCTCTGTGATGTTTCATAAGTCTCTCAAGCATATTGCCACTTCTCTCCTGATGTCTCGCATGCCTCTTTGCTAAATAACCACACAGCTGTAACTATCTGCACATAATACAAACAATGCTCAACATCTATCATTGTCACATTTATTGAAATGAGAAAGCAGAACTGATAGCTACATTAGTTCACAGTCAGCATTTTGTGACTTAAATTAAAACATATATTGCATGTAGAAATAGCAGAATTTATATAAATGCAAAAAAGATAGCATCAGGAGAACAGGAAAGCACTAGATTTGTTTTAATTTTGGTGTTTGCTCAAATAGTGTCGAGAAAGGAAAAGATGTTTGGAGTAGAGTTTTTTGCAGTCAACAACTAAAAGGTTAAATTCCTTGGAACTGGAAAAATGAAACCTTAGGCTAAACATAGACTAACTTTATTTAGTTCTCACTGATTTCAGTGGGGCGGATGTTCAACTGCTAATTTAGTCTGGATCCAGCCTAATATTCTAATTAGCAATAACTCAGCATAAATATTCATTGTTGATAATGTGTTTACTTGATATTGTACTTTACAGAAAATAGATCAGTCTTGTTTCAGGCTTGTTATAGTACAAAATAAGTAGCTTAAAAGACCCACCACAGAAAACTGGAAGTTGGTATAGTTGCTGCAGGACAAAGGAAGAGTGCTTGTTTATGTGGGCGGTGTATAGTTACTAAGGTGTAGCTTCAGTGGTTGTTCACTATTATTACTGCCACTATTACTATTTTATTACAGCTTGTAGGTATCTCTACCTTCTGCAAAGAATAAGAAATAGCCAAATGCCTAGAAAAATTAGTTTGTCTTCATGGGGCATCAAAAAATGGAAGAATGGCTGGTGTGGGACACATATGTTGCCTTTAACTTAGAGTCTGTGTATCTCACAAATGTAAATATAAGCATTGGTTTTACATTGGCTTTGGGTGCCTTCAGTACAAAGGCAATTAAATGTGAGACCTGTCTCTTTGTTACAAAGTCTATTGTCATAAGTCTGTTCACTACCAATTCAGTATGTGAAACCAAGGGCAAAATAGCAAATGTATGTGCTTTTAGACACCTTTCACAGTATGAGAGTAGGGGTTGAAGGGAAATCTTTAGGCCTAAATTGAATTCACTCCCCTTCTTTCTTACCCTTCCACCTCTGTAGTCCCACAGACGGCAGCACAACAAAGACAAACCATTCAAGTGCCACAATTGCCACCGTGCGTACACGGATGCCACCTCGTTAGAGGTTCATCTGGCCACCCATACAGTGAAGCATGCCAAAATCTACAACTGTTCCATGTGCAATCGGGCCTACACCTCGGTAAGCACGAGCCTTGGGTGGGTGAGAGGCAGCCAGAGGGCCAGGTGCACACGGCCAAGTTACTGCAACGCCCCGAAACAGCTTCCTCTGCTCCTGCTCACCCCATTTGCTGGAATACAGACAGCCTGTCTGTCGGTCCCTGTTCTTCTGATTGTATTTTTTCCTCTCTGTTCCACTACAGGAGACCTACCTGATGAAACATATGCGGAAACACAACATCCCTGACTCACAACAGCAGGTGGCCGTTGTCCAGGCTCAAGTGCAAGCCCAAGTCCAGGCTCAAACACAAGCATCACAGCAGCAGCAGCAGCACTTCCAGTCCCAGGGTGGTGGGGCAGCAGGGGGCCCATCCGGAGACAACCCTTCAAACCCCCCACCCCAGTGTTCTTTTGACCTTACACCTTACAAGTCTTCAGAGCATCACAAGGACATCTGTCTCACGGTTAGCACCAGCACGATCCAAGTGGAGCATCTTTCTAGCTCCTAGAGACCTTGAGGAAGGGGAGTGGAAAACTTCTCATGCCTAATCTGTGCCCCAGGGCATTTCTTGTGTGGTGGCCTCTCCTCATGCAGCAGCCTCTGGCCTCTTCTACTACAGCTTCCCTTTGGGGAGGGGAAAGGGGGTTATATCTTTGTAACGGCCACTACTTGGCTTCACCATGCGTGCCTCCGGAGGCACAGCATCATGTTCTAATGGGGAGAAGCGCTCCCTTCTCGTGGGAGGGGCCTCCCCCTTCTGCAAGCACCATTGGTTTACCAAGGGAACGCCCCCATTTCTGTCTCATTTTGTATGGTGCAAGGAACACCCTCTGGTGCCTAGCAAGCCAATGGGAAATGAGGAGATGCTCGTGGGTGACGGGGCTTCAGATCTACAGGGAGCACACAGTGAGGAGGTTTCCCTTTGTGTGGAGGGTGGAGAATTTGCGCTCTCTGCCTCCCTCCCTGATCCTGTGTGTTGGGGAGGAAGAATGGTTGCCCTAACGTTCAGCATCGTACATGCAACCATGGGGTGTTGCTGGGGCTCGACTTGCACCAACCCAATCCAATGTGATAGATGGCTGTGTGAGGGCTTGCTCCTGTTCTGTCAGCCAAACGGCAGGAGGAAGTGGGGAGCAGGCTGGGTGGGGGCTGCAGCTCACAGCCTTTTCAGCGCGTAACCTCCGCCACCACGATCGTGGCCTGCTGCAGGCAGAAATAGGAAGTCTGAACCAAAAAAGCCGCTAGTGGGAAGAGTGCCAAAATAAAAGTGTTCCCCCTCACCCAGAGAGTGGGGCGGAGAAGGCAGTCCTTCCATCTTGCTCACCCTGAAAGCACAGGCGACGACCCCAGATGAAGAGGAGACCTTTTCGAGGGGCCAGTGGGAAAGGGAACTGTCGAGCTGCTGTTCTCTGCACATCATCTGGATGCTCTTTTCACGCTCTTCATTGCCAAGGCAGACTGGAATGAGGTGGCTGTGGTGGTGCTACTTGGAGAGCAAGAATCAGAGGAATCTTCCAGAGGGGGGACAAAGGAGAAGATAGGGTGGAGCCAACCACCCCTGCACAGAGTGACCAATGAGAAGGGAGAAATCCCCAGGAATAGACTCAAGCCACCTCCCCCATTGAATTTATATATAAATATAAATAAATAAATATATATAAATATATATATATACAGATAGATAGATATATCTATTCACAACCCAACCCCCATCCAGCCTGCTCTGTCCTTGCTGTAACTGTTTCTGTGTTTATAAAATGCATTATCCTTGCACACTTCTATTTTCAATCTTTGGTTTTTACCCCTCTTATTCAATTGCATTCTTCATTTTCAAATTATTTCTCCATTTACTTCTTCCCCCTTTCCCTTCTCTCTAATCTTGTGGCTTCCTATGCCTTCATTTCAATGTTCTGGTTGTCACTGGGATCACAGGCAGAAAAGGAGGCACAAAAAACGCTAATTGAGATTTTCGTGATAAAACGATCCCTCGCGGCCATGCAGATTTTTCAGGAAGGTTGGATGGGTGGGGGTTTGCAAGGACTGGCTTTTTAAAATGCTGGTGCATACAAATAAATTGGTTCAGATGCCTTTCTATACAAATGAAAGTACTGGCAGTTATTGGCAGTCGTTCTGTGTCCAGGGCAAGGACATAAGGATTGCATGTTCTTCCCTTGTTCCTGAGAAAGCCATTCCAGGAGGAATATTGCAGGCCACATTGTTTGCTAACACTTCTACTTCCCTAAGTTCGGAAAACAACTGTTGCGTGAAGACAAACTCAAGAGTGGCCTGATAATCCTGCCCACTTGGGACGGATCAGGACTGATGGACATTTCCTTCCTCTCCCCACCCCACCCCCCCCGCCGCTGCCCCTGCACCACACACAGCTCCAGTAAAATCAGATAGAATCTCAAGGTGGTGGTTTGGCTCCAGGGACTGTGGTAAATTTGAGAGCAAGTGTGCTGTTTCTGTGTCAGGCATGAGTATGAACTTCGTGTGTGCATGTGTCCCTGCATTTCATGCATGCCAGTCTGGCAGAATCCTGCACTTCTCTCCCCTCAGGGTGTGAATATTTGGGCCTGGTAATACATGTGTTACACGTGTAATCATTGTTGCAAGTATTGTAAAAACAGGAGTTGTATTTGCCTTTTCTTTGCACCAGGCTGAAATGGAACAATAGAGAGTGACTTTCTTGAGAATTGTGTACCAAGCATCATGTCCCAAACACAATTTTGAGTGTTAACTCAACTTGTCATAATTTTAATGTCAATTTGGCCTGTTGTATATTTCCAGTGCCTCCCACTTGTATACATAGAGCAGCAGGTGCTCATGTCCATGAGAGCCACCAGTTTGGGGTGGGGTGGGAGGCACTTGCCAGATTCAAGACCAAAGACCTCCCTTTCCTGTTGCAAGATGGATCGATTATTTGATGAACCATACAGAATGCAGTGGTGGTGGTCTTTTCCTAGCAGGTTAGTGCAGTCTAAGGTGTGTACAAGTGGTAGCTATGTCATAAACCTGGAAGTGTTTTGTGAGAATACAGCTGATGCCTTTGGTACATAAGGCCCCACTCCTAATTCTGTTGAGCCTGCCTTTTATGCCTTGTGTTTCTTCTGTTTCTGTCTATTTATGGCCTACAGACAAGTTTCTGAATGTGCAGAAGATGTTTGACCACAGAGGGGCAGGAAAGAATATGTACTGGCATTTGGTGTCAGTGGGGCTTGCATTAATGCCTCTCGGGTCTCTGAAGATGTGCTGTTTATGTACTGTTTCAGTATTTCAGTATGGGTGCGCAAGCTGTGGTGTGTGGGCCACATGTGGTCCCCCGGGTCTAATTTTGGCCTCCTATGAGAACAGCAGTCTTCCTGACTCCAAACTCTCTCCCAGCAATTCTGATGTGAATCAAGATTCCATGTGTATGTGTGTGCATGTGTGCCTGGATATCCCATACAACTGTTGTGACTGAGAATGGCACACCCCTGATGCAGAGATTAGTAAAAGTGTACACTGTGACTTGGGGATGGGCAACAGGAGAGTAAGGAGATGTGAGAATGCAAACTCTTATATGTTCTAAGCCTTAAGGAGCTGGGTGGAACTGCGAGCTCCCTGCCTCTCACTGGGATGAAACATAAGCAGCTGCATTGGGTATAAGTTGAGGAATTTGTGCTTCAGGCAGACACATTCAAGTCTGCCATATGTGGCGCAGGCCAGTTGGCTTAGGTGCTGTGGCCTCGTTGTGCTTAACGGGGTTGAGAGCCACCTGTGGCCCTAAACATTGAACCCTGAAGGGAAATACAGGAATTACATCTGCCTGTTAGCACTTGAAGTTGGAATGTAGGAGTGCTACAGTCCATCAGGCTGAACAGGTGTGGAATATAGAAACAATTTGTCTCTGTACAAAGCATCTCCCTTTGCTGACACCTCTTCTGCCATTCCCTGCCTTGCCTGAAATAAGCATCCTTGCCTCTGAGTTACGTTAGAGAGAGGAGAGATTGTGGAAAATGGATTGTGGGAACTGAGGTGAAAGAACGTAAGATTCTTTATGTTGAATGTAGAGCACTTCTCCACAGATGCAGTGCTAAAGTAGCCAATGAAAACACAACAAGCCAGGAAAGCATTAAGGCACTGCTCAGTGTTTGTGCTTTACTTGAATTTTTTCCATCTTCAGTGCAGAGAAGAGCACCAGGTTATTGAATATTAAGAGGACTGTTTCCTATTTGTTCATACCTTTTTAAATTACCACATCAGTTCAGTGTGGGTAACTTTCAGCTAAGAGCCTTTCATATTGCATTTCCCAGAGGGAGAGGGGTATTTTAAATTTCCAACATTAATATTGCATTAGAACTTTTTGTATTTAATTTCATTACTTTTTAAAAAAAAGAATAAATTCCAAAAGCCCTCTTAACCTTCATGGAACTGCGTTTTTGTGTGGTTAAATTTTCTTTGACAACTGAGCATGGCTGGATGGGTGTTACAATCAAAGCATCCTCTTGCTTTAGTACAGACCAAAAGGCACAAGAAGAATCAAGTGCTTTTGAAATTATGCTGTTCAGGTCCACATGTGTTCCTGAACATTAGATTGGCAGGGTGCTCATACATATTCCTGGCCACCTCTAGGTTGTCATACTACTCCATGTCAGATGAACATAGCAGGGCTCCCTCTACCATCTGTCATCTGCATTATGCTGTTGCCATGTATGGATACTTGATAAAAACCAGGTCTTCCAGTCTCTCTCCTGCAAGGGCGTATGTCTTGATGCTTTTCTTCCCTTTTTAATGGAAATCTTTTGCACAGACACCAAAGCAGTAATTATTGGGTCTGTTGCTGGTTTCATAGGGATTTGCATCTTGTTAAGAAGTATTCAAGTTTGTGTGTGTTCCATGTGGTAGGTAGCATTCTATGCCTGGGCAACCTAAACATTGCAGAGAATAGTTCAATTCATTTTTTTAAATATACTTGACTAATTGATTTAGCCCCTTCTGGGATGCACTCCTTAATGTGATGAGGGGGTTTGAGAGTGTTAGATAAGCTGAGGGCAATGCTGCCAGTCGGCCAGACTGTCTCACTGGGCTCATCTAGCGGGGTCACCCAAGGCTGCATGGTCAAGCTGAGGCACCAGGCGGAGAGGCATCCACCCTCTTCAGGGAGAACAGCCGCTTCAGCAGAAGAGAATCGAGATCTCTAATGGTGGTGGGGGCAGCGACTGGGCAGCACTGGTAGCTGAAGGTGGAGGATCCTTCACAGACGGTGGTGGTGATGCTCAGAAGAAGGCAATGGTAGACCACTTCTGAGTCCTTTGGCCTTGAAAACCCTGGGATGAAACAATCCAGATTGGAAGGCACTCAAGAAGCTCCTGGGGAAGAGCAGAGGACAAGTGCGAAGACCACAGTTGCTTGCCACTCGGCTAGATCAAAGCTGAAAGGAAGTCTAGTGGCTGACATGCACCAAGGTGAAAGGAAAGGTCCTTTGCTGCACAACATACACTATTGGAACATGAAACGTATGAACCAAAGCAAATCGGAAGCCATAAAACAGGAAATAGAAAGCTTAAACATTGCAGCACTCCGTGTGATAGAACTGAAGTGAACGTCGGGCGCACACAGCATGCCAGGTTGCATGAGAGCTCAAGCTCGGTGGAGATGAGATTGTTGTGGAATCCCAGCATGTCCAAGCAGTAAACCAAGGTTAGGGTGTTTCTGGGAAGATGTGGGGAGGAATTGACAGTTTGGCCTGATGGGAGTCCAGGTCAATCCACCTATGGGAATGGGGAAATAGGGGAAGAGGAAGAAGGACTGACCGTTCCAGCTGATGGGACCCCCGTTACCAGTCTGTGCAGAAGAGGTAGAGCGTGGGCATGTCTCACAGCAGGGGAGAGGGGATAAAGAGTTCAGTAGTTTGTGGGACACAGAAGTCCCTCCTGAAGAGGTGGTACCAGTTGCCAAGCAACAGCACCAGTGGGTGGTTCAACTGGGTGAGAAATGGGAAGAGCGCAGGGAGCATGATTTCACCGGGCTCTGCCCTCAGGAGCAAGAGGCTGAAGGGGTTATAAAGAAGCAAGGGAATGATGGATTTCAAAGAGGGAACAACATTTTACTCTGGGTGAACTCAAAGGCATGTAACAATAACGTTTATTGGAAAAGGAGTTCTGGAGAAGCATGTTTACTCAGGAGGAAACCATAGCTCATGACAGTGGACTGGAAAATGGGACAATTTCGATCAGACACACACCAAGTGTTTTACTCTGGAAATGACAAACTCAGAAGAAACAGTGGTTCTAATACTAGGACAAGACATAGCACAGGCTTACAAAATCCAACTGAATAATACCACTCAAAATTTGCAGAAAACCTATCAACATATAACCATCATTCAAGTATATGCTGCAACAACAGAGGCTGAAGAAATAAAAAAGTTTACATAGGTGTTACAAGAGTTGCACAAGACATGATGGTGATCCTATTGAAGGGAATGCAAAAGTATGAAACAATCAAATGTAGGGCAATTTGGCCTAAGGGTAAGAGACAAAGCAGGAGAATAATTCGTAGAATTCTATGAAGCCAATAATCTGTTTCTACTAAATGCATACTTCAGTCGGTCAGCTGGACAACTTTATGCATGGATGTCACCAAATGGTCAATACAGTAATAAAATAGACAATGTAAGTGGAAACAGGAGATGGAAAGGCTGTATTCTCACTGCCAAAACAAGGCCAGGACCAGATTGCATTACTGACCATGAACTCTTAATATCAAAAATCATGTTTGATATAAAGTAAAGCTGAAAAAGATCACCAAAAGAAATATAATGCCAAAATACAACTTAAATAAAATTCCTGAGAAATTTAAAGTCCACATAAATAATAGATTTGCATGATTCAGCTTAACTGACCATGTGCAAGAACAGCTGTGAACTGATACCAGAGAGAGTATTAGGAAAGAATGCCAAAATACAATTCCTGTAGCAAAATGAAAGAGAAGGTCTAGATCAGTGATGGCGAACCTTTTAGAGACCGAGTGCCCAGATGGCAACCCAGAACCCATTTATTACAAAGTGTCAACACTGCAATAAAACCTGAATACTGAGGTTTTAGTTTAGAAAAAACTCTTTTTGTCATAAAAGGAAAACACAAAACCAGAAGGAGCCATGTTCACGTTCAGCGCCTCCAAGTCGGGGGACGCTGGACCTGCTTGCCCCTGGGGGCGCGCAATCCCTCCCTTCATCCTTCCTCACCCCCAAACCAGCCACTGGGAATGGCGCAGAAGCTTCAGTGGTGCTTGAAAGTTTACCGAAGGGACGGAATGGGGGGAGAGAGACCTAAACTAAAGGTGAGGAGAAGCTATCGCTGATCCCTTCCATACTTCCACTGGGATCTTCCTTGAGGTGCCCCCACGGCGCTGCCAAGCCTTGGCGAGTGGGGTCGGGTGGGGAGGGGCGTCCCTGCCACGCACCCACTCCTCTCGCTTCGCTGCAGTTCCAGCCTCCACTTTTCCTCGTTTTGGGCTCCTCTCCCCAGGAAGCGCTGTATCTATCCCTGGTGCTTTCTCTCTCCTCCTCCTCGCTCCAGCTGCTGCTGCTGCTGCTCTGCCGCCTCGACTCCGTTGCAGGCAGGCAGGCAGGCAGGCGCTTGGCTGCCTGGCTGCACCTGTGGCGACCGAGTCGGCAGGATTCCACCACTGCACCAGCAGGGCGGCTTGGGCGGCCGCTCACATGCTGCGGACTGCGAGGAGGAGGAGGCAGGAGGAGGGTGCCGCTGCCAGCACTCGGCATGCCCCCTTGCTGCTCGCCTGCTCCCTTCCTGGCACACCCACCGCGGCTGTTGCACCCGCCTCTGGCCACCTGTCTGGCACTGCCTCTTGCGGCGAGTTGCGGCTAATGAGTGGCGTCTTGCCTGGTGCTGTTACTCTTTTCCGAATATGTGCATGGCTGCTGGGGCGACTTGGTTCACGTGCCAACAGAGAGGGCTGTGTGTGCTGGCTGTGGCACACGTGCCATAGGTTTGCCACCACTGGTCTAGATGGATGACATTACACCCGCAATTGCTAAGGACAGGTGGGTAGCAAAAGGTGGCAGAAATTGGGCCAAAATCCTGAATGCAACTTTGCAATGATTATCTTGTAGGAACAAAATGTACTATTAAAATGACCAGTGCAAAGAAATGGAGCTGAACAGCAAAAGAAGAAAAAAATCCATGTAATCAAAGGGAAATTCAAACCTAGACTAAGAATGCTGAAAGACCAACAGAAGTATGTACTATCTGACCAGCAGAAAATAAAGATAAGATTGAAAGAATGTACAGAAGAACAGTACAGAAGAAATGAAAGGAAACAGACTTCTTGAAAGAGGAATTCTATGAAAAGAGCCTGCAATATTAGAAAGAAGAATGAAAGCAAATAAAGGCAGATGTTTCCCTAGAAGCAAAAATGGCAAAACTGTGGCTGTCATACTTGGCGCATATCATGAGAAGGCAAGATGCACAGAAGAAGGCAATTGTGTTATAGAAAGTCAAAGGGAGAGGGAGAAAAGGATCTGATGTGAAATGGATTGAATCCATAATGGAAATCATAGCCATGAACTTAGAAGAGCTGAGCAGGGTTGTCCTGCACGTGACATTTTGGAAGGCTTTCATGCATAGGGTCGCCAAGGTACAAAGTCCTACAACTCCCATCATTGCCCAGCCAGCATATAGGACTGAAATTTGTAGGACTATCTTCTGCCTAAACATGCATAGGATTGCAGCCATATTAAACTTGTATCTCCCCATTTCACACAAAGTGGGGCTCAAGCCAGCTAATAGTAATAATGTACAGATGAAAATAAAATATTGGTTAAAATAACATAAAATCAAATCAATTAAGCACAACAAGGTATGGCAGTAGAATAATCCATAGAATAGACCAAAAGAAATACAGCTGAGCTGATCTAATTCCAAGTCACAAGAATAAGGTTCTCCCCAAGTTACATAGCAATTGGTAACTTCTGATGCTGATTTGCTGCTTCGTCTGAACAGGCAACAGGTTGTGCAACACAAAAGAAAACCCTGAGAGAGAGAGAAGGGAATGCATAAACACAGAAGTCCATGGTGCTTTTTCTCATAATGACAAACTATGGTTTGGTTTTATTTTAATGAACCCATAGATATCATGGAATTCATTGCCACAGTTGATGCAGCCAAAAACCCTCTCCTATACCCTAGCATCCTAACTTCAGTGGGATACTTCTGCATCAAGTACTTCTAAGTTCAGGGACAGTATACCTCTGCATTTAAATTACTGGATGTATACAATGGAGGAGTGCCACGTAAGGTAAGCCTGAGATCAGTGGAGAGTGTTTCAAAGGCAGGTGTCACAACTGAAAAGGGCGTCTCCTTGGTTGCTCTCTGCCTAACCTCAGGAGGTGGGCCCACC